GACCCCCTACAAAGCTTGGGGCAGTCTCTGGGTAGATTTGGGCCAATATGTGGCCTAAGTGGCCTATCATTCATCTAGATGGAGCTGCTGGCAGGGTCTCGGTCTGCCTGTGCCACGGGGCTGTGTGGGGAATGCTGGGTGGTCCCTGACTCATTCCTTGCCAGAAGCCTGGGACTTCGTTCAAGTTTGCCCAGCACGCTGGGGTGGAAGCACGTGGCCAGTCACGGAGACCCGGACTACGAAGCCTCTCTAAGCACCGGGAGACCGGGCAGCTGTCGGTCACCAAACCTGAGAGAAGGGCTTGACCACCCTCAAAGCCTGCCAACGGCGCTGACGGGTTTCTCCCCACCTAGTCCAGGCTGGTGTTAGGGGTTTGCCACCCCCCCAGCACTCTGAAATGTGCCCTTGTAGGGAGTCCTGTCTGGGTGACCGCCAGGAGGTTTCCCGTGGACGGCGAGCCCCTCGGGCTGCCTGGGGTTGTCCAGGAGACGCCAGTCCCGGATGACTCCTTGCCAGGGTTTGCCTGGCCGGGAACATAGCCATGGGGGTGCTGGTTGTGGGCTGAACCCTCTGTCATCCCCTCTGCCCTCTCAGGGATGAAGCCCGGGAAGGTGAGGGATGGAGGGTTTCAAGGAGAGGGCCATAGTGGTTATCGTTTCAGGGTGATAAAGAAAATAATAGTGAGGATTTTGGTTTTTTTTAACATAAAAATCCAAAGGGGTGGATTTGTCCCCTAGAACTTTGCTCTGGAGCATTTCTCTGGGAATTGGGGTGCTAGGAAGCATCACCCAGACACAGCCTTAGGGAGCGAGGCAGGAGTTGGAACCATGCAGAGGGGTCCTTCCGTTGGTGTGAGCGGGAGGTAGAGAAAGGCCAGTGGAGGGCTTTCTAGAGCCTGTGTGTGTCATGTGCAGCCAAAATAACCCTTGAAAACTCACTAAATAGCCCTTCATCTAGCAGGACCTGGACGCTTGGAGACTCCGATGCTAAGAATGAGCTCTTCCTTTTTCTCAGTTATGGCCTGTTTTCCCTGAAACAGTGGAGGCCAAGGCCTGTTCCGAACTTCATTGTATTTTTTAAAGATTTATTTATTTGAGAGCGAGAGAGCTCAGGCGTGGGGTGGGAGGTGGGGCCGAGGGAGAGAAAAATCTCCAGCAGATTCCCCACTGAGCACACAGCCTGACACGGGGTTCGATCTCACAACCCTGTGATCAGGACCCTGAGATCACGACCTGAGCTGAAATCAGGAATCAGACGTTTAACCGACTGAGCCACCCAGACGCCCCTATTCTGAACTTTAAAAGAGCAGTGGGTTGAACCGAAGTTTATCTCCTTGTGCTGTGTGAGTTATGTATGTGAGGGGTGTGTGTGTGTGTGTGTGTGTGTGTGTGTGTGGTATGTATTTGTGCATGTGGTGTGCACGTGTGATGGGTGTGTGGTATGTGTGTATGTGTGTGTGATGTCTGCGGGGGTGTGTGTGTAGTGTGCGTGTGTGGTGTATGAGTGTGTGATATGTATGTATGTGAGTGTGTATGTATATGTATGTGTGTTGTGTGTATAGTGTGTGTGCATGTGTGATGTGTGTAGTGTGCATGTGTGATGTGTATGCGTGGTGTATGTGTGTACCATGTACACATGTGATCTATGAGTGTGTGGTGGGTGTGTGCCATGTGTGTCTGTGTATGATAATGTATATGTGTGGTGTGTGTGTGCATGTGTTGTATGTGAAGTGTGCACATGTGCTCTGTGAGTGTGTGTGGTGTGTGTGTGGTGTATGGTGTGTGTGTGTATGAATGCTGTGCACGTGTTGGATTGTGATGTATGTATGTGAGTGTGTATGTGTGTGAGCTCCACTTGCTTTAGCAACTCTATGATCTGTCTCCGCTGAAAGCAATGGGAACTGGGGCCTTATCTCTTTGGTTCCTCACTCAATTGCCCTCTCTACTTGGGGAGTAGAAGGTAATCATTCATTCAGTCAAAACATTGTGTGTTGGGGCACCTGGGGGTGCTCAGCTGGTTAAGGTCTGCCTTCAGCTCAGGTCAAGATCTCGGGGTCCTAGAATTGAGCTCTGTGTCAGGCTCCCTGTTCAGTGGGGAACCTGCTTCTCCCTCTCCTGTTATCCCTCCCCCTGCTCATGCTCTCTCTCTCTCTCTCAAATAAATAAATAAAATCTTTTCAAAGAAACCATTGTGTGTGAATGGATCCACACATTTCTGGGTGTGTGGGTGCACACATGGGTCTCTGACCCCATTCAGGAGACTTAGTTTTGCTCTTGAGGTGGGTTTTAGAGCTGACACGGGCCTTAGGGAGTACTAAGGCTTAAGGAGTACCACCATCCTACATTATAGGTTGAGGATGCAAAGGTCCCAAGGTAGGAATCCTGTGCCCTGGGCAGTGGAAAATCCCATGGGGGCTCTGGTCCCCAGTACAGACACTCCAAGCACTTCCTCGGGTCCAGAGCAGACCACCTTCCTTGCTAAGCCATCCCGCAGTGTCCACCCGGGGAGCCCCACAGTGCTTCTCCACCCAGGATCTGCAGAAGCCCAGATGGGGGCCTTTGAGAGACCCAAATCGCAGCCTTCATACCCGGCCAGTGAGCCCAGAATTTCTGGAGGTGGAGGTGGAACCAGGTATCAGCATGTTTTAAAGCTTCCCAGCAGTTTCACTTCGGCTTCTTCAAAATGTACTCTTTACCCCACATCAGAATCCCCAGGGACACTTCCCCCAGACCTGGAGGGTCAGAACCATGCTTGGGGTCCCATTAGTAATGTCTTAAAGTCTCCTGTTGATTCTAATGCACGGTCGAGTTTCAGAACAACTGCTCTGGTGCACGTTGCAAGTGTGTGTCCTTTGGAAATGGACATCCCTGGGCATCCCTGTGGTCCCCGCCCCTCACCCCACTGAGACCTGAAGGCAGAAGTCCATGCTCTCCCTCTGTAGCTCCTGCTAACGCATGCCTGTGCATTCTCGGCAAACCCTTTGCCAGATGCACTTTAATGACTTCCAGGTGCATTTCTGAAATGCAACCTGAGTCTCACCCAATACCTGCAGGCCTCACCTCTGCCAGGTCTCAGTGCAGGGCCTGCTAACCTGGGGAGGCAGGATTCTGAGTCCCTGGTTAGGCTCTCCTGTCACAACCCTGGCTACAACCCCCTCAGCTCCAGGACCTGCTCCTGCTCCCACTTGGCCACCGGACTTCCAGGTGAGCTCAGAAGAGCCTGTCCACAGCGCTCGTCCCACCAAGAGTTCCGTGGCCTCTGATGAGATGCTCAAAGAGCATGGCTGGGGTGAATCTGAGTCTAATACAGGGATTGACCCCAAGAAGTGAGAGAACGGTGTCCGAGGCCATAGATGCCTTTAGCTCAACAAGGCTAGAGTCTTCTGCTCGATCCATGTCATTGGTCTAGCCAGAGACAGTTGGGATCTTTCCCTTTAGAGAAATACATTCCCAGCTTGCCGGAGTGAGGCGCACAGAGCCACCATTTTGGAGAGGCAGACGTGGCTTCTCCAAATGTGGAGATGACGCAGAGTCCCCTGCTCAGAACCTGGGCTGGTGGGCTTCTTATTTACGGTACCCAGGAATCCTTCTCCCCTCCTCTTAACTCTGTTACCCTCAAATTCCCTGTGCCTTGGAGACTCCACTGGGGCCCGGTAAAACGTCTTTGGGATGCACCGATCACTGATGATTTGCTGTTGCTTTTTACATCAGTCTGGTTTACACTAGCAATGGTGGAAGGGCTGGGGGGACACTGAGTTTCCTGGGAGGAGTGATTGTGGCTATCGACAGGGCACCACCGGGAATCGGCTAACGGATGGCCACAGCCCCATTTCTTCCAGGGAGCTTTTCGGTTCCAAAGTCTAGAAAAGACCCCGGATTGCAAACAAATTCCTGGAATATATTTAAATCCACATCTGTTTTATTCTCCTCCCCTTCCTCTAGCCCACAACGCGGGCAGGTCCCGGCTGTCCATTATGGTAGCTTTTCCATGGTGGCAAGAACAATAGAAGTTGGGTGTTGAATTTAAATAAATATTTAATTCATGAAAATGATCTTATATGTTTTAAAACACTCTTTAAAGCTATTTTTATTCTCTAGAAAGCGCTTATTATAGGTAAATTACACATTTTACTACCGGAGCGTTAGGTTTGCCATTAGTACAAATTTAAGGCACTACAAAGACCAGTAGATAATGTTAATTTCAAATACAGAAACTAACTATATTTTGTACCTTTTTATTACTCATTTTCTTTTAAGTTTTATTGACTGCTTTTTATCTTAACTATATGTCTTTACATGCCGCAATCATAATGCACGGTAATGGTATTAATATTTTATGGAATCGGTATTTATAGTTCTTTATTTAGAAACAATGCAGTAGGTCTGCAGATATCTGAGCTCGTCTGGAATGGCGCCCTCCAAATAATGATAAATTACTTGTGCAGTATGCCATTTGCTAATTATATCCATGATTTACTGCAGAGCGAGACTTAAATCATTCATTTCAGTCTTGCGTAACAGTGCCATAAAATTTTTAGGTTTAAAAATGGTTTCCATGTGTATAATTTAAACAAATTTTAGAGCTATTGTATACACAAAATATTGCAACCACCCATTTGTTACATACTTTGTCTTTTTAAACTTCTACTTTTAATGATCACTGTGGTTGAAATTATTATGCTTAATTTTCATAATCATAGCTTTTAAATCTACAGCCGTTTTCACATGTTAGATAAAGAAAAAGATAGCTAATTGTGTGTAGATAGTATGTCATTCCTGAATAGTCCCAAATGGTACAAAATCATTAAAAAAGCTTAAGACTACGAATTATTCTTCTATTAAAAAACAGTTGTTCTCTAACTAATTATTAGTTTGAGCTGCTTTGTTTCCAAGAACAAATGTTGATCCTTCTAGCCTTGTTCGGCACACCAAAATGAGATAAACACTTTTCTCTCTCTCTCTCTCTCTCTCTCTCTCTCTCCTTATACCGAACTCTTGCAGGTGAGAAACCTTACAAATGTCCCCACTGTGACTATGCGGGCACCCAGTCAGCGTCCCTAAAATACCACTTAGAGCGGCACCACCGGGAGCGGCAGAACGGAGCTGGGCCCCTGTCTGGACAGCCCCCAAACCAAGACCACAGGGACGAGCTGTCCAACAAAGCCGCTTTGTTTATCAGGCCAGACATCCTGAGGGGGGCCTTCAAGGGTCTCCCTGGAATCGACTTCAGAGGTGGCCCTGCTTCCCAGCAGTGGACAGCAGGCGTGCTCTCGTCCACAGATCACGCGGGGCAGGCCTCCGGCATGACTTCCGAGGCCCCTTCGGACACACTGAAAGGCACCGACCTTCCTTCCAAAAGCGCCCACTTCTCCGAAATCGGAAGAGCTTACCAGAGTATTGTGAGCAACGGTGTGAATTTCCAGGGGTCCTTGCAAGCTTTCATGGACAGCTTTGTCCTAAGCTCCTTGAAGAAGGAGAAGGACATGAAGGACAAAGGCCCGTCTGACCCTCCGTCCATGAAGGTGCACGGGCCGGACGGCGGGGAGGACAGAGCTGGCGCAAAGGCGGTCCCTAGGAAGTCGGAGAAATCCCAGTACGAGCCTCTGGACTTGTCGGTGCGGCCGGACGCCGCGTCGCTGCCGGGCTCGTCGGTGACCGTGCAAGACAGCATCGCGTGGCATGGCTGCTTGTTCTGCGCGTTCACGACCTCATCTGTGGAGCTCATGGCCCTTCACCTGCAGGCCAACCACCTGGGCAAGGCAAAGCGCAAAGACAGCGCCGTCGGGGTGACGGTCAACTGCAAAGACCAGGCCCGGGAGGCGGGCAAGGTGGCCCTGCTACCCTCGGCGCAGTCGAACAAAGAGACGGCACTCTCTGGCCTGATCGGGCCTCCAGAGGCCGCTTCAGAAAAGACGGCCCCGGGGCCGGGCAAGGAGACTCTGGGGGAGCCCAAGAGCGGCACGTGGCCTGGCCTGGTGGACCCCGCGTTTTGCAACTTCCCATCAGACTTCTACAAGCAGTTTGGCGTCTACCCGGGCCTGCTGGGCTCGGGCGCCTCCAGCTCCTGCCCGGCCCAGGAGCCCGACGGGAAGGCCCACGCGGAGGATGACGCCCCGATCCTGATCCCCGAGACCGCCAGCAAGAACGCTACCGATGACCTCTCCGACATTGCCTCCTCGGAGGACATGGACTCCTCCAAGGGAGAGAACAACGACGAAGACGATCTGGAGACGGAGCCAGAGATGATGAGCAAACCCCAGTCCGCCCTCGGCAAGGACGGCGGCGGTGGCGACGGTGGCGACAGCCTGCTGCCCGCGGGCGCCCCTCAGCCCATCCAGGGACTAGTCTCGCCGGTGCCCCCGGCGCCCGAGAAGCAGTGGCACGGCCCGGGCCTGCTTCCAGCCCAGGACCCCTCGGCGGGCCTGCCCAAGCCGGAGCGGGGCCCCCCGGGCCTGGAGAAGCCAATGAACATGCTGTCGGTCCTCAGGGCCTACAGTTCTGATGGCTTAGCAGCCTTTAACGGACTTGCGAGTAGCACAGCAAATTCTGGATGTATCAAGAGGCCAGACTTGTGTGGTAAGTTTTAGAATCCTCTTCCTTCAGTTCATTTCCCAAAACATCAGTGCTGAATTGTGCATTTTTATAAAAAATGAGGTAGACTCCTCCGTTAGCACATTTCGAACTAACCATGAAAACACCCCAGCGATGCTGTAACGTGCAGTGTAGACAATCACGAGAGTCGATTTCCTTCGGAAGTTCTAGCACGCCCGCTTTTGCGTTCGGGTTCCCACCCCGGTGACCCGAAATGCCTGTACGGAAAGCGCGGAGGGGGGGTTGGGATCTCACAGTGCGAACTGTTCCTGTTTTTAATCTCTAACTCAAGGGGGAGAATATTTTTAAAAACAAAACCAGAAAGACACGGTAACTTGCAAACCCTTCAGTATTTTTAACTTCTGCGTAAGACGGCGAAAGACAGTTGCTTCCTGCTTTGCTAAGCCAAACCTGCTTCCTTAAGCTTTTCTTTGTATCGACTTAGAGGGTACGAAAAATCATATCACACTAACCACACTATAGAAATAAAGTGATCCTCTCTCCAACCAGGGAGATTGTTTTGGGGTGTTTGTGACTTATCTTTAGACATTCCAAACAGCAGTTACCGTGACGTTGGCCTTCTCTGATCGCCTTCTGTCCCTCTGTATCTTCACCTATCTGTCCGTTGTTCTGACGAGAAATGTGCATTGTGAAAGCCCTGGCTAGCAGGGTTGTGATCCCACGTGTCTTGGACTTATGCCTGCCTGATCCTGTTAGCAAATTGGCACTTCTTTACCTCCTTCAACAATATGGTTACCCCAAAGTCATTCCAGATCTTAAAACGTAATAATAAATGTGAAGCCTAGAATTGGATCAAATGAACGCTGGGGTGGGCAGGGACGATCGAAGACATTCTCTCGGCACCCAGATACTTGTATCAGAAAGCCTTTCTCCGAATAGAAGCCTGGTGTATTATTATTGCCAGCCCCTAGATGTCCCCCCTGGAGATAAACGATCGTGGGACCTTTCCACGTTTAATCTATAAATGGATGTCTGTGACTTGACTGCACCTGTTGAAGAAAGGAAAGGAGAGAAGGAAGAAAGGAAGGGAGGGAGTAGTGATGGAGGGAAGGATGGGAGGAAGGGAGAGAAGGAAAATGGAAGGGGGTTATTTCTTAAGCTCTGAATTCTGATGTTGCTTTGAGCACAGAGCAGAATTCAGGAAGCTGGGCTTGGTTCATAATTTAAATTGGTATATTTCTTTTCCCCTCTCCTTCCCTAATTCGCTAAGAACTGGATCAAGTAGTCAGAAATATATTTTTTTTGAATTGTCAAAAATCACTAAATGGATTTCTGACAGCTCAAAAAAATATTGACAGTTCCTTATGCTGAATGATTCACAAGGCCCCGTTAACCAGCACCCAGCTCTATTTTTACCCACATACAATTCGTTACTTTTGAAGCAGTTAAAAACAGTGTTTAAAAGAAGGAGAAAGGAGTTTTATGTCAGTCCAGTGTTTTCCCCCTTTTCTTCCTGGAGGAACAGTGTGTAAGTCTTTTTTTTTTTTTAATTTCATTGTTGTTTTAAGTTTGTGACTTTTCTTCTCTTATTGTTATTTGGGGATTGTTTTAAAGTCTATTTTCAGTTCTTTCAAATACCTGTGTGGGACCACAGTTCCTGCCAGGAATCCATGCATCAGAAAAGATCAAAACCTGGCATGTTCCTAAGCTCATTCTTATTGAAATGAGCTCATATTACCCCTATTAATTTTCCCATCTTCCTATCAATGCCGAAGGAAGGCTTGCCTGCTTTGGAGGAGCTTGCACTGGTGTCCTTCAGCACACGTGAAGGTGGAGGGGAAGGCAGCATCAGGGAGCCTGTTCCAGTGAGCCTGGTCCTCTGAACCGCAGCCCTGAGACCTGTCTCTCTCCCTCCCAAAAGAGCAGCTCACTGCTCTCCCCTGACAGCTCTGGGGTATATGTAAAAAAACTTTGCTTAGTTAACCTTTCAGCCATTGGGCAACAGGTCCTGGGTACGTGTTGTGGCCCCTCGCTGGAAAGGGGAATGAGGACCCTCAGTCCAACCAAGCAAAAACCAGGCATCAGGGTCCAGGCCCTCCTACTCAGGGTCCAAGTCAGGGCCCAGGCCCTCCTGCTCTCCTTTGCACTCGTGGGAAGACGCCCAAACAGATTCTGGCCATAAACTGCCTATTTTTAGTGAGCACATGTTCTGCCTTTCATTTGGACCTCATTCCTTCTGTATCCTCTTGCTTCAGCTTGGGAGCAGGCAAGGGAGGCCTTTCCCTGGCTCTTGAGCTTGCTTTGGGTGGGGCAAAGGCTCCATCCTCTTGCCTCTGGGACTAGCCTGACCCCGTGCAGTGTTCACTCCTCCACTCCCATACGTGGCCTGCCATAATCAAAACCCTCTTCTTATATTCTTACCGGCTGCTCTGTGTCCTGGGGCCCAGGAAGGCCAGGCATATTCATTCTTCCTAAGATGTCTGGGAGGGTGGGGGCTGAAATCCCACTGGGCTCAGAATGGGCATTTGGGGCTTTTTTTCTCCCAGTCCAGCTTACTGTCTTTCTACCATTGCCAGAAGCACAAATGATAGCTGATCACTTCAAACCGCCCTTGGCTTGACTTTGCAAGATTGGAAATGATATTGGCACAAGGAATCAAATATTCCTGATTTTGTTTCCTTCTTCTCCGCTCCATGCAAAGTGGATGTGGATTTCCGAACGGAAGCACCAGCTTGATATCTGGTTTCCTCCAGAAGCTGGGTTTGGCCAAACCAAAGAATTATTCTGGTATTTCTCATCTCAGGAGAGTTTGGGGTCTGATTTTGTCTACTTAGCAAACCCAAATCCCCACTTTGATGGTCCTAGAAACAATCTTGTAGGAGGAGCCAATGTCCGTCTGTTTCTATTCTCATGGGGCATAAAAGTGTTTGAAGAAGCATCAGTATAAAAAATCTTGTTCGGATCACACAGACTCCCCACAGAGCGCAGCAGCAGCTCTGACCCAGGCTAGTGAGTCGGAGGAGGTGGTGTGTAACTCTGAAATCTGTGGGTGATACTCCTGTTGTGGCCCTACTTCCAGGCCCTGCTTCCCTAATTCTGCATACCTGCTTCTTAACTGTTCAAACTTTGGTCTTAACGTTCCTCGGCATCCTGGATCTGGGGTCCTTGGCCAGTGAGACCTGCCCATTCCTAGCCAGTGCGTTTCAAAGAGAGAGTTGAAAAAAGGGGCCACCCCAGTCCATTGAGCAGGAGAGCCTTGTCGCACGTGCCAATGTACAGAGCCCGTCGGTGAACTTTCTAAAAGGTCCTTCTGTAGACAGTAGAACATTCGCCTCCCAGAAATGTGTCACAGAAGATCCCAAGGAGGAGTCATCTTGAATTAAGCTGGAGGACATACACTGTTGCTTCTAGAGTGGGTCAGATCCCACTAGGGGCCCGATTTCATCTGGCGAAATCCCACTCCAGTTAAAGCTTCCCTTTCTTGAGGTATCTTTTAGACTCCAGGCATAGCCCGCAATTTCTTTATCCTACTGAAGAACATGACATACAAGGTCACTGAGTGCCATTAAAGAACTTGGATGTGCCCTCGGGTTTGTTGGAATAGATTTGACCTTGGTCCTGTAATGGGACAGGAGCTACATGAGTATTTAATTAGAGAGTAAGGGCAGATCGGAGCAGCGCTCACAGCCACTGATAGGACAAGGCAGACAATCGCCTTGTCCAGTCTGAGAAACTTTGATGAACTTGTGGGTCAGCCAGTGGCTTGGAGGTCAGAGAGCATGGGAGGCACGGGTGTCTGCGTGCCCCAGACAGCACAAAGGCCAGTCTGCACAGCACCTGGAGGGCTGGCTCCAGAGCATGGCAAGGGTACAGAGCATGTCTCACCCCACTTGGTGGATTTGGAAAGCAACCAGATCACCCTTACTCTTTGCCTTTCAAACCTGGGACAGATGGCCGGGGGTCATTGTGTGTTGTCTTGCAAGCAGAGTTTGCCCTGTGTCTTTTGGTGAGCCCAGGCATAAGGCTGACGGGAAGCGTTAAAGAAAAAGGCAGTGAGAAGGGCATGACCTTCTTTGCTGTTCGATGCTCTGGAATGATCGGCATGCAGGGAAACCAGGCTGAGCCAGGAGACGCCACCAGCATGCCTATCATGGCCATGAGCCCTCACACAGTAGCTTCTGGACCGAGGCAGCCCCCAGGCCCCAGGGGAAGCTAGTGGGAGGCACAGCCATTAGCAACAAAGGTCCTAGTAGTCCCCATTTATTATTCTCAGGTAACTGGGAAACTGGCTTCCCTAACCCAAATTATGCCTGAGACTACGGGTTCCTTGGGCTTCCATAGCAATGAGAGAATTAGAACCCCTCCTTTAAAAAAAGAACACAGGGTCCATTGAAACCTCTTCACCTCATCTATTCTAAGACGTCTGATCAAATGAACCAGGACATCCAAGTGGAACGCTCTTAAAATGCGACTTCTGTCCTCCAAAAACCGCACTGATTTCCAGCATAGACAGTCTGAAAATATTCACCCTTGACCGGCTACACAGTCTAAAGCAGGGGTTGACAACTATTTTCTTCAAGGGCCAGAGAGGAAATAAGCTAGGATTGCAGGCTGTGTGGTCTTGGTCACAGCCACTGGACCCTGTCCCACAACGTCGGAAGAGCCATAAATAATAATTAAACAAATAGGTGTGGCTGTGTTCCAATAAAACTTTATTTAGTAAAGCAGGCGATGGGCTGGATTGGGCCCACATGTCAGCCTGCCTGGGCTGTCGCCGGTTCCAGTGTAAAGAAGGGTATGCTTTTTTCTGTGTCATCCCTAGAGGGGATACGTGGGATCCTGTGTGCTGTGGCATCACCGGCCAGGGAGATGGTGCCGGGAAGGGCCGGGACTGCAAAACCAGAGACACAAGAGACTTTCCCAGGAAAGGGGGCTTCTAGACCCAGATGGCCCCTTGTGCCTGTTCTTGGAAGGCCACCTCTCTGTCTTCCGCACTTCAGACTTGCAGGAGAAGATGCCTCCAC